CCAACTTCATTAGTTTTTATTAGAGAGTTTAGAGTACCAGTTAATACTATGGTGTGGCAACTTGCTGCTGGATTAATTGATCCAAATGAAACTGTTGAGTCTTCAGCAAAAAGAGAATTAAAAGAAGAGACAGGATATGTTGCTGAAAAAGTGTTGAAAGTTAGTAAAAGAGTTGCAGCTGCACCAGCTGAAAGTGATACATATGTTCAATATGTTTCATTGTTAATTAATGGTGATGCTCCTGAGAATCAAAATCCAGAACAAGAGCTTGAATTATCAGAAGACATTACAGTTCATATTGTTCCATTAAAAGAAGTTGAGGATTTCTTAAGTAAAAGATCTGAAGCAGGAGAAACTGTTGAAGCTCGTTTATTCTGTTTTGCATGTAGTGGTTATATTATGAATTACAATGAATAAAAAAAATTAAAGCAAAAGCCATTTCAGTATTTTATTTGTTTTTTTTATGATTAGAAGATATAAGATATAATAAAAAGTATAATTTCATAATTATAAAATATAATGAGTAAATGAAAAAAACTGAGATTATTATAACGTAAATAGTTAATGAGTAAACCTCTCCCTATGACACCAAATACTGTTCCAAGAAGATTAATAAAACATAAAATTGTCGATGTAAAAACAAATATATGTCTTGGTTTTAAAGAAAATTTACCAATATTAGCGACTCATCTTTCTCTTCGAGTTAATAAAATCAAAATTGATATAAAAGGAAGAAAGTCACTTAAATTTGAAAAAAAAGAACTTAGAAGTGTTGCTTATCAAAAGTTACGTGAATCAGACAATTTTATTATTCTTGAATTACAATTTACAGAAACATATGTTTTTCTTATTCATTTAAATCTACCACTAACATTAAAACAAATATTAGAAGTTATTCAAGCAAAACAACCATTTGTTGATGATATTAATGTAAAAACAAAATCCTTTGAAGATCAAATAAGAATTTGGAGAAACATTGGAAGATATATGGAAAAATATTTTGAATATAAAAAAATAAATAACACGAAACAAAAGGTTATTGAAAGTATAGTACAACTTCCAGTTAATAATAATTTAATAACTTCTCAACAAGAAGTAGAAAAATTAGAAATAAAAAAAGAAGAAAATAAAATAAATGATGCTTGGACCAAAATATTTGAAGAACAAGATGTTCATACAGTTCAAAGACAAGAAAGAAATAATGACTTCCAACCAATAGCTAAAAGAGAAAATTTAAAAGATGTAAATAAAGAAAAAGAAGAAGAAATTGATTTAGAAAAAGATGTTGTAATAGAAACAAAAAAAAAGAAAGAACAAATAGCAATAGATCTAGAGAAAGATGAATGTATAGGAAAAGAAAAACCAATTATTTTAGAAGATGATGGAAATTCAATAAAAGAAACTGAAGTTTATTTTTATGAAAGTGATGGAAAAGATTATACATTAGAGATGAGTGATTTAGAAGTGTTAAATGGTATAGAAATGATTAATGATGGAATTATAGATTTTTATATGAAATATATTGAAGATAAAGAAATGGATCAAAAATATAAAGGAAAAATGTTATTTATGAGTCCATTTTTTCTTAATAAATTACAGTCATATTTTAGTTTACAAGAATATCAATCAGAACATCAAAATATTAAAAGAGAAGAATTACTTGAAAAATGGAGACAATTACAGTCATGGTTAAAAGGAAAAAATATATTTGAATATAATTATATCTTTCTTCCTTTTCATCAAAATTCACATTTTTCATTAATTGTTATTTGTTTTGATAAAACTTCAGGATTTTCTGATTTAAATGAAATTGATACAAAACAAAGTCTTGAAGAAGCACCATGTTATATTTCAATAGATTCACTTCACTCAGAATTTATGGAAGATAGATTAAAGACAGAAATTAATTTATTTATTGAAGAAGAGTATTTTAAAAATTATAAAGAATGTATAGATGCATCAGATATAATGAAAGAATATAAAATTAATACAGTTAAACAAAAGAATTGTGTTGATTGTGGATGTTATATGTTATATTATATTAGAAAAATAGCAAGTCAACCTAAACGAACATTAAAAGAATTTCAAAATGTTTTTAATGAAAAAGAAGCCGAAGAAGAAAGAAAAAGGATTGGTCAAATTATTTCTGGTTTAAATAAAAAACAGATTTAAATAGAAAGTAATGATTTAGTATTAATTGATTGATTAAAGAGCAATTATTATTGAATACATTTCTTTTAATACTTCTTCAGAAATTATTGATGGTATTATTGAATATTTATATGATAATGAAATATTACATGTTCCATCAAAAAGAAAATAACTATATACCATTAATTCTTTCATTTCTTTGTTACAATCTATTCTTTTACAATTTGATATATGAAAATCTACAAAATCTTTTTTAATTAATGGATGAAGTCTTTCCATTACTATAAATGAATCAATAGTAGATAATGTTGTTGTATATGGAAGCATTAATAAATTAGTGTTTCCACAATACACTGCATCTCTAAATCTATCAAAAAATGGATGATTAATTTCATCAATATTTTTAATGTATTGAGTAATTTGTTCTGCCATTTCTTTAATTGATAATTGAAGAAAATTATAAGGATATGATGGATAAATATTTTCATAAAAACAGCCAATTGACTCTTTTTGAATTTTAGGTAAAAATTTTCTAATATCATAAGGAATCATAAAAGCAATGGTTGTAGCTTGTTTATTTTGTTTATTAAATAAATGGTCATATGTTTTCAATTGTATTGCAAGAAGAGTAGCTTGTATTGAAAGATTATTATCATTACACCACTGAATAAAATTAGTTGTTTCTTCTGGATTTAATTTTATTGTTTTAGAAATAAAACTATTTGGAACAATTGTTTTAGTTTCTTCTTGAGCTTCTAATAATTTATCTTTAGTTACCAAAGATTTATCTTTTAATTTACTATGGTCATATTGAATTACATTTCTTTGAATAAATAATTCTGCCATTTCTTTTCTTTCATCATCTGGAATTCCATTTAATTCAATAAGACTTGAATAAGCAGTTTGTATTGGATAATGTTGACTTTCTGTTTGAACACTGTAATTTAAGAATGACTCGACTAAAAAAACTATTGACTTAAAGTCAGTTTTTAAATGACATTGGTACATTCCAAACACAGTGTACTGTGTTGAATTTAAAGTAATATAACTATAAATAATA